TTTCGTTGAGCCCACCGAGCCGGTGCCATGTCCAAGGTGCAGTCGGTCAAGTCGCGTCCTTGCTCTATTCCTAGCGATGCCAGGAGCCCCTAGTAGCGTCCTTGCTCCTACTAGCGATGGCCTCCAACCGCCTTTCGCCCAAAAGACTTGCGAAAACTCGTAACCGTGAGCCGCAGGGCGTCAGTGATGAAGGTCTCATCTTTGAGACTTCAGAGGCTTGTTCGGTGACCTGTGTGAAAGGTGTTCAAGGAGTGAATCAAATGAAACAATGTTTATGTCTTTTTTTAAGTTTGTTGGTGGACACTAGCTTGGAAATGCTACTAGCTGCTAACCTGTTTGCATTTAGACTAACCATGTAGACTAGTTTTCGTCGCATGCGCTTCCACCTCTTGGGCTTCACGCTCTTCGAATGTCTTTCGACGTTCGACGTTTGAGTTAAGAAACGGCGAGCGAGTCACAATTCAAAAATGAATTCTTTTAGAATTCTTAATCGAATCCTTAATAGATTCTTTTAGAATCCATTTTTTCACGAATTTATTGCGTTTCTTTTTTGGCCTTTCTCGAACCGCTTCCGATCAGGACGTGGAAGTGCTCCCCACCTTCGATGCGCTGGAAACTCAACCGAGGTTGAGATGTGGGTTTTTCACCCAAGAGAAAGAAACTAAGTGTCCTCATCTATACTCCAACATTGGTAGCTAAAGTAGCTAAAGTGACCCAAGGTGAGCAAAATAGCAAAGGGCTGGTGTGGCAACAAGTTTGCTTCACTTAGTTAAACAGTCGAAGGCAGCCATGATGAGATACAAGTTCTCCATTCATACCGGCATCCCAGGAAAAATGTGCTGCAGGCATCACAACGCATTTGTTTATGAACAACTAGGAGCAAGGACGCTATTAGGGGCTCCTGGCTTTACTACTAGGAGCAAGAAGCTACTAGGGGCTCCTGGCATCGCTACTAGGAGCAAGGACGCTACTAGGGGCTCCTGGCCTTACTACTAGGAGCAAGAAGCTACTAGGGGCTCCTGGCATCGCTACTAGGAGCAAGGGCGCTACTAGGGGCTCGTGTATGAAGTGGATTCGTTTGTCGAGTACAATACATCTCGCTTGTCGTCTCCCCATTTCTGAGCCTCTGAGGCTTGGGCTGAAGGAGGACTTGCTTCGTGGCGCCAGAACGCCCAGCAAATGCAACAACCAACGGGTGAGGGTGGTGTTTTCTTTTTTTGACAGAGTGGAGATATGGTTCGCTGATCAGAGGTCTTCTTTTGTGAACATCTTGTTTCTTGCAATGCGTCCATCTCTCGAGCACGTTCGGATGGGACAAGTCGGCCAGCACTCATTTCAGATTCCAGGAGTGGAGATTCTGTTCACACATTGTTTTGGTCTTGAATCTTGACTTACTTTGTCTCAGAATCTAATGTTTCCTGTTTGCTTTTAAGCAGCTCTACCCCGGATAAATGCTATATCAGTGACTGTTGGCGATTGAACAGTGGTGAGCCACTGGGCATTCGGTGAGACTTTGTCGCTAGCGGGACAAGTGCTACGCAATGCTGCGCACACTGAGGTCTAGTACTAGGTTGGAGGCCATCGCAATTGGGTTGGTTACTGATACTGAGGTCTATGCATATGGCTTTGAGCGACCGAGTGCTGTCCAGCAACGTTTGGCGACCCGGGGAATGAGCCTTGAGTGAGGCGTAGAGTCGTGCGGAAGGGGGTCCACGGTAGTATGATGAGAGGTGCATTCCACACGCATTCTCATGAGCGAATGAGCCTCTTGATAGCTCTGCTGAATTTTTGCATTCTCTTTTAAGCAGGGGCCACGCTAGGAGTAACAAGTGCCACGCTAGTAGTAACAGGTGCCTTACTAGTAGTAACAAAGAAGCTATTAGTAACAAGTGCCACGCTAGTAGTAACAGGTGCCTTACTAGTAGTAACAAAGAAGCTATTAAAGTTTAAAAGCAGGGGCCATAGATTCTGCTTCGATTCCTGGTTAGAGTTCTCCAGTAAACACAGTCGCAGCACCCAGCGAATCTTGTCAGTATCCTCAAGGAAAGGATATAAAAATCAACAGTTTCAATCACACGTATCTAATTATCTAATTATTATACCAAGCAATATTTCTAAGTCGTATTCGAAGTCAAGTCAACTGTGACGGTTACCGGTCTTCGCTGAGAGCCCGGACTTGAGGTGCCATTTTGCCGATCCTGAAGGGTCGTGATGTCATTGTGCCTCGCAATGAAGGGTCGTTTTTGAGACGAAACGAAAGGCATCTAGTCAAACATGCGTTTTGTCAGTGTGGCATCTCTCATGGCATCTCTAAATCTGAGAGTCAAACAGCTGAAGAGATTCCCACTGTGCGGCTCGCACTTTGGTTCCTCTCACCTTGCCCCAGGTGCAGTCACAGAGCGGCACAGGGAAGACTTGTGTCTTTTGTCTCGGAGCCTTACAAAGTGTCTGGGGCCTCAGAATCGCACAGACAAGTCGTGATAGCAGGAGAGGTGCTGTCGTCTTATATAGCTATTAAGTTGGAGGCCATCGCTACTAGGCCATCGCTACTACATAGGTTGGAGGCCATCGCCTTTAGGTTGGAGGCCATTGCTATTAGATTCTCTTATATCCTCTTCTGATATCCGCTTTGCTTTCACTTTGCTTTCATCCAGGTAGACACCACCTCCCGAGAACCACAGGCCTGATGGTCTGACGGATTGGTTGATCAAAAGCTCGCTGTCGAGTGCCTCAGTTTGGGATTTAAACACCGAGATGGGCCAATAGCGAACATTGCTCCTAGGAGTAAGGCCAGGAGCCCCTAGTAGCTTCTTGTTCCAAATAGCGATGCCAGGAGCCCCTAGTAGCTTCTTGTTCCTAATAGCGA